TATTTTCCTTCCAATTTCTCTTCCGTTTTTAGATTTAAATTAACACCCGACCGATATTCTGGCGAACCGGCGGAATAGGAAGTCAACAAAAAAAAAAGTACAGTTATTGATCAGCCTCTGTACTATTCCTACCTTAGAATGATCGATCACTCAATAAGGATATTGAACAAAGGAGATAGGTAGGTACAAGAATATAATAAGTTATAATTAATTTTATCAAATAAATATTTGCTTCGTTAAATAAATAATATACAAATGTATAATCAAATTAAATAAATAATTAAATTATATTAGCATAAAAAACTGTCGTGTGGTCTCTTACTATTTATAATCCGATACACCCCTCTTCTTTTTTCGTGCTAAAACTGATCGTAAACAAGGGCTGGTGTTCGTAATTAAAAAAAAAATGTTTTATCAATTAACCATCGTAAAAATGAGAAATCCCTAAAGTCCAGGTCGAGTAACGAATTTTAGATTCGAAAAAATTTGTATAACGAGCGCAGCCAAGTAGCAGGCTTGAAATGACTTTTACGTTAAATAAATGTGACAAAAAATTAAAATTTCCGAAAAATGTCAATATTCTCACGCGTCACTAAACGTCATCCCCCATTTTTAGTAATATAAAAATTGGATCCCATATTGGCTATTTACCGGGACGCAGCCAGACGAAGTTTCCAGGAGTAAAAGAAAAGGAAATCAAATAAACGACTACGGTGACTTTGAGTACAGTGGAAGTGATGTTACCCGCTGCGAATAGATGACAAGCAAAAAGAGAGAGAAAGAGAGAAGAACAGAGAGTAGAGTAAATGAAAGAGAAGCACAGCAGTGAAGGTTATCATCCAATGTTGGCTCGGATCCAACAGCTGAGAACTTTCGAGGAGCTTTCTCGACGCACTTAACCGCAGATCTGAAAGCTCTAAAGTTCCTGGACGCGACTGCGATTATACAAATTCATTCGATAAATTCCGCCCACGCCGATCTCCTCGTCCTCCTCCTCCACCCCAAAAAGATTTTCAACAGAAACTCTCCAGTATAGTTAATCCTTTTAAAGCTTCCAGCGAACAATTTTCCTCTCCCCTAAATTTCTCTTTAATCCACTTTTTCTTTTCCCGACCTTATAAATCGTATCCCGTTTCTATAAGCTTTCGTTTAAAATTTGTCACCTGCTTGAGTACCACCTGATATTTTTTTTATCGGACCAATCTTTTCTCTTGAGAAAATTTTTAAATATCACTTTTGAAATCTCACATTGCTACCACCTTTTAAATTCTACCAACATACAGATAATTCAAGTGTCTTCAATTACGTTTGCCCGTTTGTTCCATGGTGAGAAAAAATTGCGCCGATCACTACTAGCTTCTCGTGAAACCATTGCAAATGTTTGGGATAGCCATTCACGTATTGTTGACAAAGGTACAATGTTGTTTACCTTGGTCTTGACCGAGATTCGTATTTGTATTATGTCTACCCTAAGGCTAGAGTAAAACCCGCTTGGAATTCAAGAGTAAAGTATTGTCTTCGCGAAGTGAATCCTAGAGTTAAATAAGCCAGTAAGTGTGTAAAATATATTCCAAGAGAATTTCAAAGCAAATATTTCCTCATGACCAATCTTTCGTCAACATCCGACAAAGAGTCTTACCCCTTCGCATGATCCGACCGATATATAATAAAGAGCCGTGGCACACGATATATTGACTAGTTTTAGTTTTCCTTTCGTAGAAGCGCGAAAGGAACGAAGAAGCGAAGAGACGACGCAATTCCGGCGTCCCGTGACGATACACGAATTCAAATTGAAAATCTAACGGTCTGACGGTCTCGACGCAACTGAGGATGTTTCGAATCGAGCGGATTCGGCTAGTTTCAAGAGTAGGGCACCGCCCATCTACCAATCACCGAGCAGAACCGCTACCCTATTAATCCCCGCCAGTATTCCAGATCGCCAACAACAGCGCCGCTCTATCGGGAACGGCAGTACAAGGCAACTAGTAGGCCATGGCGCACAGCTGTACGGAATGTAAAAGGCAAGGGTGAGAGAATAGTGTTTTCCCAGTCACAGGACTTCGACCCTTAAACGTTCTTCTAAAGCATTACGACCTCTTATCAATTCTTACCTTGAATATTTTTCCAAGCATTTCTCGGTGTTACGTCCCCATCGCCTACCGGGGCGGCTCCATACCCGAATAAAATATATTTTCATAAGAACGCTGTAAACTTTATTTCAATTACAAAATTTTCTTTCACTACACTTTAGACACTGTTAAAAAACAATTTTGATACAGCTATTATTTTTGTCAGCTAAAGCTGCATCTTCTCTTTCCCCAAAATGTTAAGTACGACCTTCGTAATTATAGGAAATCGCTCGGCCTCTCATTAGTAAACGGCCTTGCGCAGGCTTTTGTCCAACTTCCCCCTTCTCGTCGTATTTTCATCCGAGAACCGAAACAACGTGTTCTTCCGTTCGTTCTAGCCCAGAGAACTTGACTGGTTCGTAACTGATCGCTGCCCTTGACCTTCTAACCCTCTGAAATTCAAACGACAAGAACGACGAAAATTCTCAAAGCCAAGGAATCACATCGCAGACGCCTCTACAAAGTTTGTCCGCGTCCCTCGTTGTAATTGCCTTTGTCTCACGGCCCAGGAACATTTCGTACTGTCCCGATACCGTTTGAGTGCTTTGGAACGTCTGGCAGAACACAGCAGAGAGCAGAAAGGAACGCAAGGGCGTCTGAGTCGAGGGATGAACGGGTGTGGGTCGTTGGGTTCAAGGGAGACTCGGGATAGGAGAGAAAGGAGCAAGGAGAGAAAGTGTCGATACGTAGCGACCTTGCGGCGACATCGACCGGCCGTCTTCTAGTTCTGGCTTTCTCTCCTAGCGTCACCCCCCCTCGCTCTCTCTCTCTCTCACTTCTACGTTCATCTAATCTCTGTTCAGGATTCTTCTTCGAAACTGACTTCCCTCGTGAATCCTTCTGTTCCGTGCAAAAATCCAGTCAGCACAAAATCAAACAAATTTTCATATCACTTCAGGAGCTACGAAGGAATTCAGCATGCAAAGTCCAATTCACCGTGGTCCTACGACAATGGTATGTATAATCCCGTGACATTAGCTTCAGCTGAAAATTACACAAGATTCTATGTAATATTTCCGACCACTCTTATCTCAGGTAACGTGGATTTTACATGTCTGTTTATAGAGCCACGTTGGACGGGTCAGAACGATTTCTATGTTAACTATGAAAACGAGCTTAATTTCAAAACGGACGTTAAAGATAAGGACAGCTTGCTCGATGTTCATACAGTAGACCACTTCACGTGTCTTATCTTCATTTCTAGATGGTTCGCACTTACACCGGTGTTTATTAGGTGAACGTGATTAGGTTTCCCTTACGGACGAGAATTCCCTATACCGGGGGTAACGAGCGAACCAGACTCTGAATTATAATCGTTGATAAGCACCACTGATAGAGACCAATGATATTGAATGAATCTTATTTTGATTATGTACACTGTCATTGCTGATTTATTAATTCTTAGATATTTTTAATGGTGAACAGCAATTTTTTGAAAAGCCATATCGAACAATCAATGAATCGATCATTCTTGTTTGCCTGATAGTAAAGTGATCAATTATTAAATGCCAGGGTTCAATCGTTGATATTCCTCAGCACTTTTAACGCTTCGTGCAACGTATTTTTTCTTTTTAGCTGTTACATTGAATCGAGTTCCAATATATTCACGACTATGACGCTGGGTTGCTTAAGAGTGCACATCAATGATCTTCTGCAATTTCTTAAGTAGCACAAACTGTTATTCTATTGGATCTTTCAACTAAGTAATGACGTGGGAAAATTCTCGACCATTCTCGTGACTGAAATGAAGAAAAGTGCTTATATTCATTGATCGGTTTGGACCAGTTTGGTCCTTCGCCATGTGATAACGATTAACGAATACAAGAACATGTTTGTTTCGCAAACGAAAGTGAAAGCTTGATCTTGATCGAGTCAAGGGGCCGCCCGAAGGTAACGTGCATTACAACAAAGATTGGTAAACTCTACTGTATTCTAGAATTTTGGAAAAGGAATTCAGTTGTAAATGTATAAGAAATGTCAAGGATATCAGTAGACTGATTATGCCACAACGGGTTTAAATAATTAAGCCGATAAAATGGATCGCCATTGAATATGCTGTGAATAATGTAGGACAGCCAGAGAATCAAAACACAGGGGAACACGTGAAAAAGGGCATAGTTAAAGCGTGTCTTAACATTTTTTGAATGACAATGCACGTAATTATCTTATGGGTGTGCTATATTCAAAGATATGACTGTATAGAGTAGAGTTGACTGCGCTAGTCAGCCGAGATACTACAGATGTTTAATGGCGGCTGCTCGGACCGGCGTGTTTATCGATCTACTCACATTTTCCTGTGGTCAGCCATCGTGTCTTTAAGGATCTTCGGCTTTGCTCAGCGGGCCGTTGAACCTCGAAGCAAAACGGACGTTTCGCACGCTGATTTTCCTATTGGATTCCGTGGTCAGTGGCAACATACAGTCAACACACGCGACAGGGCTCTCCGTAGACTCACGAACTTCCCGCAACTTCAAAAGACGATTATGTGAGAAATGATAAGTATATTTATTAACTCGATCACAAACGACTCGTTCGTATTTTCCCGATCGATATTCAAAGCACTCGCTTTTCGCGGAGCGGCAACCGCTAGACTTTTTCGGCCGCTCTATCGTTCCGGCGACTATCATCGATTTTGTTGACGACTGCTACGGAGCGATCCACCACCCCCTGGTATAACGTACTGCTAGTGCCATCTCTCGACAGTCGACGGTTTGCGGCAACAGTTTTCAACTCGCGATATCTTGCGGCATCTCAATTAAACTGCTCATTATAATTATATCACTCGAGCGGAGTGAAATGTCGCCCATTTTGCGACATTTCAAATTATAATTATATTTCACGAGATTGGCAATAAATAATTATACAACTCAGTACCTCACATGCCTTTTGTATTTTAACAAAGCATTTCCATCATCTTTACAACTTACTTTTTTTGCAGTGTGGTGATTCTTCCTAAAACTATAGTGGACTATGTAAATGTTTTCGCGGGAGGTTTTTAAGTGATCCTAGCAATCATGGTAGATGCTATTTCGTATGAGACGGAGTTCTTAGCTTTGCTTTGACTTAGATGCATCATCTGGAGACGTTGCCTGAAAAGAAATCCATACCCTCAAATACGTTTGTTATTACACACTAATCGGTTATTCATATAAATTATTTGATACCTACGTCTTTCTTTGATTCCTGTAATGTTTCCGAAGCTTTACTCGCCAGTGAGCTAACAGCTGCGATGGCAGCTGCTCCAGAGTCAGTTGCCAAACTTACGAATTCCGACAGGGATGTCGGCAATTTAATTTTTGGGAATTCCGGCCACTCGATATGCAATTCATTTTCATCTCCTGGTTTTACTGAAATAGAAAATCAACAAATACCATGACTTTTTACTGTTATAGTTCATTTATAAAACAATATTAGGGGGACAATATCTTTTTGCACTTTATGTACCTCATACTCCATGCTTTTTCATTTGTAAATCTTTTTAACATTTGGACTCGGGCTGAGCTTGTACAGGCTTTGTTACGCAGGGATCAACTGATTTATGGAATTATTAATTAAAGGATGTATAAGGGTTGTTATGAATGAACACTTATAACAAGTTTATTTATTAAGATAATTGGATTATGCAAAATTACTTACCCCCATAGATGAAGTTGTAGCCAATGTTGACATAATGCTTAGCTAGTTCGACACCTTCCTGGGCTTGTTTTGGATAGCATACAGCACCTACTGCAAGAGCCCCTGTGCTAGAATAAACTAATTTCTTAAATTTTCCACCTCTTAAACCAAAGATTAAGCCAGTTAAGCCACCAATTCCTACAGCACCCAATCGTGGTAGGACGTTGCTTTCTTCCTGTAGGTAGTCTAACAGAACTGCAAAGAAATATGCAAATTATTTTTATCAACAGTATATACAAAGATTTAAAATATTTTATGCAACACTGAAAAAATGTTGCATTATTATTTTCAATTTGACTTATTTGAATATAACTTACGCTGACTGTGCTCAAGTCCAGTATCATAAGTGTCACTAATTGTACTTGTTACAGCTGAGTATTCAGAAACCAAGCTATTGACAGTTTTTCGAATTGTTCCAAAGCCCTGCTCCAGGTATGAAGGTGCACAATTATTATCCGGGCTAAAAAATTCTACAGCTATAATACTTTTGGAAATTGTAATTGTCATTAAAAGAATAAGTTGCAAGGAAAATTATCTGAATCTTAGAAAAAGAAATTATATTTAGAGTAACTATGCCCCCCCCCCTCCAATACTATGAACAGACACTGTTTAAAAAATTGAATTACTTGTGCTTTACCATGGTGTCTGCCTGGTGCATGATTCGTCTGCAGAATAAATAGGAAGCTCTGATGGTCTGATAAGCTTTTTGCCCTCAAGTTTATTACTGCAGTTTTCTGGACATGATTCTGAAGATGCAGGTTTTACTGCCGGGACTGCAGCACATAATCCACAGGGCATCATGAATTTCTTGACCAGCTTTATATAAAAACATAGTACATACTTGAAATTATATATAAGAAATCTATAAAGAATTAGTTAATTATTACCCTTATAATAAAGAAAATATAGCAATAATTTCTCCTACCAACTTTATCCATGAATTAGTAAAATTTTAATATATAATTATTTTACATTTATTATTTATATTATATAATGTCCAATTGTTCGTGTCTATTACGTCATCGAAATAAACTGGACTGTCAACTCCACTAAATATATCACGGATGTTCTATCGTAGATCTAATTGTTCAATAAGTTGATTTAAAAAAAATTAAAAATATATATTCTAAACGATACGTGTTTATTAATATTACATTAGAATACGAGAGAAATTAAAAGTCATTGTAAATTTCTATTTAGAAAATTATCTCGGTTGCCAAAACCAATTGACTATCTATGAAGTCACGAGGTTAGGTTTAATACTTGATAACCTGTAAGTAATAACCCAAATCGCAAATGTTAAAAACCGCAATTACCTTAAACCCGTTCATGTTTTTAATTTATCTGAAATTACTATTAACGCGAATGAAGGATATCAAAATTTCTGCATTTCTAAGCAGACGAAAATTTCGAAGAAAGACGACAGCCCTCTTTTAATGCACAATCCAACTATTATCAGCTGAGTTGAAACATTACCAGGTGTATTGAACATGAAACTCGGAATTGAACTAACATTTACCAATTTGACAAGATTGAGACGAACTTCCAAATTAATATGAAGGATGTTGACAAAAATATTACAGGAAGGAAAAACTTTAAATTTATATATAATTAGAATGAGCATTATACGTTATTTTACTCTGAATGAAATACTTACGTTAGATGCACCCATATTTCAGCTAAAATTTAAAATCACATGCACTATATGGACACCCGACCCGATAACTCAAAATTCTTTCGTAACTTTTGTAATTTGTTTGACGGGCTGCATTTCCTATTAAAAACGAGAAATAGCAGCTACGATGGGTGAGGAAATTTAAGTTAAATTTGAGATAGACGACGAGCTAAGTCACATAACTGACGACATAGATGAAGGCGAAAACGGAACACCGATATTCGCAACTGTTTACGTTGTTATTCTAGTAGCTACGATGCTTGGAAACGCATGTTGTGATACGAATTTTAGCTTGTATTATATATAGTATAAAAGCATGTAGTACGCAATTAATTGTGTATATGCAATACATACGTTAATACCGGTTCTGCCAAATTCTACTAAAGTACCAGGTTGATAATCGTCGCATCTATCGACAGGCTCCTTACAAGTAACGTCCTTTCCAAATAAATTTCCTACGGTAGTCTCTAAAATTTTGTGCACAGTTTGATTCATTATCAAAAATTACCGCATTTTCTTCAGATACCACAATTTTTGTTAAATTTAAAAAGTAAGATTTTCCGGTTTAAAATTTCGAAGACTACATGATTTTACCCACAATTCGCTGGGGTTATTCATTCCGTCAGTTCATTCGTTCCGAGCGATAGTTGGGACATCTATGCCGTTTAATAGTCGCCGATTTGTCAATTGTCTTGACTGGGCTCGACAAAAAGTATTGTTTCTAGTTAAATATTTTATATAAAATTTTTGACAGTTTCGAAATTGACAAAAAATGACATCGACCACCACGCCGTCGGTTGACTTAAGCTCATATAGGGATCAACATTTTAAGGTGAATATAATATTTTGTAACAACATAACCTTTTACTCCAAGTCTGTGAAAGAAATCAAGAATTAAGTGTGATAGTTCGCTTTGATGACTGTTATATTATAAGTAAAATGTAAGCTGTACATTTTATCTTGGAAATGCGTTAATGAAAATTTATAAACGTAGTAATACATAATTTATTTAATTTTCATTCCCAACCTCCAAACTTTCTTATGTTCTTCAATAACATTTGTAAATAACAGTATTTTCAACTGTTTAATGGGTTACCAAATTTTATTACTATGTGTGGCAGGGTTCAAGGGCAGAACAGGATCGTTTACTACGAAATTCTACAACTTTATATGTAGGCAATTTGTCATTTTACACAACAGAAGAACAAATTTACGAATTATTCTCAAAATGTGGTGACATAAGACGTATTATTATGGGGCTAGACAAATACAAAAAAACACCATGTGGCTTTTGCTTTGTTGAGTATTACTTAAGGTCTGATGCAGAAAATTGTATGAGATATATTAATGGCACTAGACTCGATGACAGAATAATTCGTACTGACTGGGATGCAGGCTTTATCGAAGGTCGACAATATGGACGTGGAAAAACTGGTGGTCAGGTAAGACTAAGTGGTATATATGCTTAAGAACAAAAAGTTCTGGATACAATATAATAAAATAACTCTCCAATATTATCGTTCTTGTTGCATTTTTAGGTGCGTGATGAGTATAGATCAGACTTTGACAGTGGTCGAGGAGGTTACGGAAAGATCATTCAACAAAAAGTGACTCCAATATCGGAGGGTATATTTGGTGGTCGATAAAAAACAAAATAGTTCTTGTGCTCGAAAGACTTGAAAATTGAACTAATATCGGCTAATGTACTCGCGTTAGCTATAAGTTAATTTAAGGACAGTTTCAATTATTTCGTTATACCGTAAATAACGATATTCCCAATAACGTGTCAGGCAATTTTATTTTAGGGCTGACGATAAGTAATCAGACTTTGTGTTAAATAAATGGTATCTTTCGTAAGTATAGTCGTTTTGATTCGATATAGCACAATTGTTCATTTACGAACTACAAATCGAAGGGTAATTCCCCGTCGATAAAATGGTAAAAAAATTGAAACTCATAAAAATACTATAGTTTGAAAAAAATATATTTCTAGCCAATTAATGAAAATTATTGTAGAAAAGTATTTTGCTAGTCGGCATTTGATAATTGAAACGCCATGCCTTCAAATGATATGTTGAATTTGAAGGATGAATATCCAGACATTTCTCGGCATTCATTTTTATATATTCATTACAAACACTGTTCGCGCATAGCTAACTATATTTAAATTACACGCAGTATAATCCGACAGGATGGTTAACTCGACGCTAGTCACCGTGGTCAGACGTCCTATTTCAGTATGCCACTAATCAGGTCACAAAAATTATGATCCCGTATTTAGCAAGCGTGTGTATGTCATTATTAAATTTAACAGCATAATTAATGGATAGTATAAACTTCATAATGCTATAATGAAAAAAAAATTAGAAATATATCTGCGTTTATTGATAACTGAAGCACAAAAGTTCAATCTGGACTACTTAACTACTCAACCTGACCAATGTCGTTAAAAAAAAAGCATATGTGACTAGCGTCGGGTTAAGCATAAAAAAGCATTCGGTCAGATTGGCTTAACCTAAGAAAATTCATTAAAAAATGGCGTAGTATAAATATATACATAATGAGGTTTAAGTTTGTACAGGAAAAAGGCACAAAGGTGGTTGTAAAAGTCTTTGGTTAGGCTATTTCGCCTGCTTCGCTCATTAATCAATACTCCCTCCTATACAGACTAGACACGGCCAAGAAGGGAATCGGTAAACTATACGTCTAATTACTTTGATTATCCTAAATAAAATATTGCGATTGTACAAACGAACATTTTGATACAGAATAATATCAATTTATCTAAACAAATGTAACGCGACCTTATTCCCATGTCCGGTCTTTGTAGATATTGAAAATGAATGTTACAGTTATTTGAAAAAAAAAGGACGATCAATGCTTCCGATGTGAAATTGAAAATTCATTGTATACAACAAAGCTTTGTCGAGGATGGTTTTCTTAATACTGCCCGTATGGCTTCCACGAAGACATCTTCGAGGCCTTCTTGTTTAACAGCCGAGCACTCCATGTATTTAAAAGCTTTAATTTTCTTCTGCATTTTCTTGCACTCACGCAGTGAGATTATGTCCAAGTCCCCCTCGCTCCTGAGGTCACCTTTTGTTCCTGTGAATATATTATTGAGAAATTATTAGACGTACAATTTCTACCTGAATACACGTGGAAACTATTGTTTCATGCAAAAAGAGATCTCTAACTTACCGACTAAAACTATTGGTACATTAGGACAATGATGTTTGATCTCCGGATACCATTTACTCGCCACATTCTCGTACGAGCTGCGTGCGCTCACCGAGAAGCAGAGTAAAAAACAGTCAGTCTGAAAGGATGATACGATTGATAGTAAGAAAAATGTGAAGCCCGACAGAAATGATGCTGCAGTTTCGATAGCATCCATCAACGTACGTTGGGATAGGAGAGCGGCCTGAGCCTCTCGTAATCTTCTTGTCCAGCTGTGTCCCATAAAGTCATATTGAACTCCTGTCCATCGACGCATATGTTGTCCGCGTAGTTATCGAAGCTGAAAACAAGAGAAAACCACAAGTAGCACATAATCAACCATATTAAAGGTAGGAGTGTCAATGTGTTCCGAAATTCACAATCTATACATATATATCCGATCAATCAACATTGCATGCGACGAGGGCATAAAGTTAACATATATTCAAAGACTCACACAGTGGGCACATATTCCGTAGGAAACTTCTTAGTCGTATATGTGATAAGCATACAAGTCTTCCCAACCATACCGTCGCCTACGGCAGTGATTTTAATCGGTCGGATCCGAGAGACCATCTTCGCGTCCTCTGAAACAAATAAAACGGTACAGGTTATAGGCGCGTGCAGACGTCGAGATAAACTAACCTGAAAGAGCTTGACAAAATTTTTGGCTAATTCGTGTAAATTCTTAACGGCAGTGAACGACTGGATGTACGCGTAGTGACAGGGAAGTGGGAAGATGGTCGTTAGCGAATAAAGTGATAAAGAGCAAAAGAACGTCGTTCGTCTCGCGTGCGTGTAGGCATCTAATTTATTAAAGGTAATGCGACACAGCCTGGTCGCAACTGTGCGTTTCCTGCTTGCAGTAGGAAGTCATCGCCATCCCAATTCGATACCTTCAGAAGCCTACTTAACGGTATTTACCAGTTATTCGTACGATACGAAAAAAAAAAATCACTGTTGGAATTGATTTTAAAAATTTTGAATATTCCGCAATTTCCATGTATCGCAGATATCCTATACCCGTATAACATAACAGGCAGAAGAAAAACAATAGCCATGCGGGCGCCGATAACAATCCGTTAATTCGAAAGTGAAATGCGACCTGCATTTTTATAGGAATTTAATTAAAGTTAATTTTGAGAAAATATAATTCAAAGGACATCGTTAAAGGTTCCTTGAAATGGAACCAGCACCAAAAGCGTATAACGTGAATAAGGAGTCGGTGCGGTCGTTGCGGTTGTTGGGATGAAAAGGAGCCAACTCGCGCATCCGGCGACTCTACGACACGACGACACAAAGCCCGTCGTCCTCCTGGGCCCTCGCGATGCAGTATCGCATATCAATGAGCCTGACTTGGAAACGCGGCCTTTTCATTACCCTATAATGAGCCAAAGCTCAAAACGATTGCGAGCCTTTTTTGGACGCCGGAAATTGGCCAGGAGTCTCCTCTACGATAGATCAATCGTATCAAACTGTCATCTACGTCAGGCACGGCCTTCCCGTTGCGTATTGTGTCTCTGGATATTAGCTGTTCGCTCAAGTTGTCCCAAGGCTTCGCGTGACGCCTCGACTCCCGGGGGATGGCTTCAACGAGGAAAAACATTGAACAAGAAGACAGTCGCAGTCTGAAAGGAATGACGATGAGAGTGATGAGTTGGAAGAGAGAGGCAGTTGCGAGAGAGCCGTTATCAATATGGACTCGTCCTATCAAACAGTCATCCGGCCATGCCATGAGTATGCCGTACCTATACCGAGTCAGAGAACATCGATAAGCGATAGTGACTATCGTCATAACTTATTAATATGCGTCTCGTGTATGTATAAGTATGTGGAAAAGAAGAGAGTATTCAGTTTCGGGTCGTTGACTGAGAGCAGTTCTGTTTTTTCGATTATTTATAGACATTGACCCAGGCACGTCCAACGTCCTCTTCTAACTGAGCCACCTGACAATTCAAGGCCGCCGGTTTTTTTGTTCCAGCATTGCGTTTTCCAAATTTATCCTCCTTTTCATATAATTACCCAGAAATTATAAATTATATCTGAAAAATATTAGCTTCCAATGAAATAATGCTTATCAGATAAGAAGTGGTCGATGCAATATATTATTTGATTACTAATTCATATGCGACGTGTACGAAATATTTAATACCAATATCGGTTGGGAAGTGCATACGAATTCATGGACTGACCTAACATAAACCTGATGTCTGACACAGAACACAAATATTATTTAATGTGTAATTTTGAAATTACTTTATACTTTTATAATGAAAAAACTGAGCGCAAACTCATCGTCTATGAATTCTCTAAGTTACGACCGCGACAAGGTATCTGATAAGAAACCGTCTTATCTAACGGCCAAGAAGTCTAATAGCACGTTCAGCCGATTATTTGAAACCGGAGTGCGCCTCGGCACGAAGACGAACCCTCGTATTATTAACGGCACGTGCCTTGGAGTATAGTTACAGTTTAATTTATAGTTCAAGGCGCAGATAGAGCTATGTATAGTTGATTAAGACGATTAAACCGATTCATCAATTCAACCTCCATTTTTCCACAGTGAACAGTCTTGATAATCAAGAAGAAGGAACAAATACGACACGTTACAGCCACGTATCCTTTGATGCACCGAAAATTTCTGTAGAAGAAGAAAAACAGTAAGTGTAATCAATCCGGAGAATAATTTGTATTTTCTTTATCAGACCTCAATTTCTATGAAATCTCCGTCGATAAAATCGACTCATAATCACATCAACGTGATCCACCAGATGCTGGATAATATTCTTCCTTTTTTTCCCCTCTTTTTATTATCGTTCGCGATAGCCACGACGTGATCGCTCTTGGAGGTCACATCGCGTCGCGGGTCACGCTAATTAGTAAATTAACGCGACCCTCTTTCAGTCCCATTTTTTGATTCATGACACGCTAGCATCACAATGGCTGTTTGTTGTTAGTCGATGTATCGATAGAACGTTTGGAAATGTATAAGCAGTAGCGTGAACTGTTAACTCAAGTGCCAGACGTGTTTTCACTTTCTTCAATGATTCCTCGTGGTAGCAAACTGCGGAATAATCAATAAAACATGAAAAAATAATATTCGTGTGTGTCTGTTAAGAATAAGAAAATATTTCTTACAAACGCCCGGTTTGTAAGAAAGGGACAAATGAAGAAATTGTAAATTATCCCTTATTTCATTGTATCCCTCCTTCCGCCCTGAAGTGTCAGTCCTGAGTCACGCACACCAACAGGGCAATTGCTTAATTAAACCATTCACGAAAGTACAGTCCCGTAAAGTTATGGAACGTAGGCATTCCTAATTCGTGTAACCACCCACAGGAGTCAACGCTCGGGCATAGAGCTAATTAACCTAATTAATCACACAGTGCATCTTAAAGTCGATTATACTGAATTTCTATAGAAACCTCTATCCGCTGGATTCAGTAGTTTGAGGTCAAACTTAGCGACCTCGTCTCTCCTTACGCATCGAAGAAGGTTATGAGTCACGACGACGTTCGACTCATAGAGTTCGATTGATCTAACGAATTCGCGAAATAAAAGTCATAAGGAAATGTTCTTCGTAACGTAATGACATCAGAAATTGTAGAATGACGCGATTAAATATTATCAATGGTAATCTTACCCATATACTTTAATGTGGTAGATATTATACTCCATATAGGTACTCGTAATAAACGAGGCTTCTGTGTTTCCTATAGTTTAGTAACAAGGATTTCATTCAAGACACAAGTTTGCATTTGTTAAACTAAACGTTCTCTAGGCCAAGCTAGACTCGAATAGAAACACATTGAACTAGATTTTGGAAACGATAAAAAGTAGCGTCGTTGCTAAGCATTGTATAATTATTACGCCGACGACAATGAATGCTGCACGCGCAGCGCCGTGAGACTAGACGCACGACAATCTATTATGTATTTTGTTCGTGACGACGCTCCGTTAAAGGCTACTCTACGACAATGGCGGAATTTTCCGCCAACATTGTCGACTCTACTGTCAATTTGAATTGTGGTTCGTTCTATTGGAAATGTCACGCAACGTTGTATGTACTGCCGGAGACTGAATGTAATTGTGAATGAAATAATAATACACATAATAATACCTCGTAATAGCTAGTATCGTACGTATTTCTACGCAAGAAAAAGATTCCTTCGTGGAATCCACGATGAATGTACGAGAGAAGCGGGAGGAAGATCAGCGTAGGTAGTGTAAGGGGTGGGTGTATAGACGTGGCGCACCTTCTCCTCGAATAATTCTTCCACCACACCCTGCGACGACTGTGAGTTCTTCTCTCTACTTTTTATAAAGATTCTTTCCTTTTTATTATTTTTCTGTATGTCATTCTCTCGCGCCATTCTGCTGCCATTTTGACACAATGAGAGGTTATGATGCGATAGCTTATAAACTATTCGCTTGCAAAATATTTGAAGGATTCGTAAAACACTATAAAGAAATGAAAAGTGGTTGGAATCTGGGTGCCTTGGAATAATCATATGTCCAGTTCTTATCGAATAGAATATTTATTTAGGTCAACTCGTGGCAAAAGCATTAATCTCGTTGAATTGAAGGGTAGTTCGATACTATTGCCCTAGCGGAATTTAGTTTTATCACAGAAAACAAATGGTCGGATTTTTTGATGGATTAGTGCAGCGCTACAAATAAATATGCGTTTTTGTTTGATGTTAATAATAATGTTTAAGCATGACTCACTTAGGTACTCGCATTTGATTATGTCACTTTTATCGAAGACTACGTTCATCGTGTTTATTCTACATGAATACTAATCGTTTCGTTTTCGATCGAATCGACCGTTTTTTATTAATTATTAGTGAGAACTCGGCACAACGTGGTATAACGTAAATAAAATATTTCTCAAAATGATGTCATCCGTTAGTTACATGTTGTGCGCGTATTCACAAGGCCACTCACGAATACACGATGTCGTACTTAATAAATACTACTACGTTTAGTAAGCATAGGCGTAAAATCTTTGGTATATTTTGCGTAATTTTTTAATAAGACAAATTCCTCACTGAATTTAACATGAATTACTCTTGTATCGTAAAATTCGAACATGGATAAAAATGAAGAAAGAGTCTCGTGCACCAGTTATGAATGAGGAGGTAGTAAAGTAAAACTAATGACACTCATTTTGCCTATTGACGTCAATATACTGTAAACCCAACTGTCATACAATAATTTTAATATCAAATTTCTTAAAAGGACAAAGCGTCATCACGAGCTGTTGTCACATCCTTCCTCGTGGTTCTTTATCTACGAGTTCGTCCTGTTACGCAGACTCATATTCCCCGTAAAAAATCCCTCATTTCTCGTTTTATAAAGGAAATTAAATTTTTCTACAGCACGATTCCGGAAGTAAATTTCATAAAACGACTTACGTATTCCATGCGAGAACGTTATTGTAAAATTTCAAAATTTTCTTATAATCTTGTCCGTCAAAGCATTCTTCTGTGGCTTATAACGATACCCACAATTCATGCAATCGATATACATGTTATATGTTCAATAAAATCATTATGATTATACTCATTCCTGAAATACTCTAAATGCTATAGGAATGTACGTCAAAATCTTTTTGCAAGTAATAGAAAGATTAAAATGGTGACGAAGTATTCAAACTCGATAGAGATTCTTAATTGATAAGACCAACGCGATAAGATTAACATCAAGGTCAGATGAAATTTAATTCAATTTACAACGATACGCTCTGATATGCTGAAATTTTAAAGGGCCATTGTGTCTCTTTCCTTCTTAAAGAAAAAGAATGTCTTTTTCTCACTTGCGTTATATTACTGACAGAATATTGTATCAGAATTCGCCTTGATTGTATTAAAACAAACTTGTATTCTTGTAATACTAGTAAATATGGATTTTCATTTAATTTCATTGATCTTATTTACTCAGCTTAGTCTGATCGTGATGATTGTCAAAAGTACAGTACATTAAGAAAATATGGAATAACACCACTCACCGAGCGCCGATCTCATGTAAAAAAGCAAATTATTCAATGTGTGCAATTTATGTGGTAATTGAATAACCAAACACTTCAGGATTTATGTTTTTGTTGCTGCTTCGATCAACCCAGCTGACAAGATGTTGAGAAGCGCCACGAGACACACGTGTGTACGACTCGGGAGCCGAACGAAGACTGTGCGTCTCGCTGACTGATAGCCAGTTGTGCATTCGCTTGAACATTCCATGTAGACAGGATCTTCACTGAAGCTACTAAAATGGATGAGTCTCTGCGGCATTATAATATTTTGTATAGTGTACGGAAGTCGATATTACCTTTGTCCAAGTACTTGTTAATTTCAAAAATGCAAGAGAGAATTGTATATGTCAAAAAGCAGATCGTTGTGCGACATCTACTAGTCTTTGACTGCGTACTCTAGCGATTATGCTGCGCGAGTGTTTGATGAAAGTTCTAAGTGTTGCTAACTACTGCATTGTCTACCCGAACCTGTTGTATGTATGTACATGGACATTGAATGTCAATATGTTGGTAATCTTAATGCTCGACGCTGACGCAAATGCAATGAGCAAGCTAATCGACTGGACCGATTGTTTGACGGATTTGGCACAATGGTTACGATTTGCATTGTAGTTTCAGGTGTGAAAAGTATTTTTGGATGCAACTCCAACATGTTCATCGAGTTGCTTTCGCTGTAAATGAAAATTCATGTATTGACCGGATGAAAGGTATCGGGTGGTTGAGGTCAATTTTAACGCGGAGCCACCAAACATCCGGTAAGTACAACCATGATCCCGGAGCATGTCGTCCAAATAAAATAAATATCGGATGGCCGGGTGCTTTAGCGCACTGCAGCATGTGTCGCATGACTTGCGACCAGAAAATTATAGCTCTACGCAAAGAGGTAGGTTGTGTCAGCAATTTTAACATTCAAGAAATTTTATGTTGAATAATTATCTGTTTTTTATGCAATAGAGCGATTACGCTGGAAATAACGAGTACATTTTTGTTATGGCTATAGCACTTACTAAAATAATAGTATGGCGTATGTTGTTTATTATACGCGAATGAAAAATATTAATAAATTTTACATTACAGTTGCTTCGTTCGAATTTCGAGACGCTATCTCTTTTTGAATGAACAGAGACGAATACGATGCGCAGAGAAACATTTAATCGTAGGAGGCGCCACATGTTAGGCCCTACTATTTGGTAGTCTGTATATTTTACTTGAGATTTAACCTTTTTTGTCAGCATTTTTTCTAACTCTTGTGTACAGCTCGCTATATGGGATGCTACTCTCAATGGTACTTGAGTTGTTATGTATACATATATTCATGGTCCATGTATATCAGATATATAGAATACAAATTGACAAGATGCAGCCCAAATTTCTTATGAATCAGATAAAAACTCGTCAATTATATCAAAGTATTATAAATATTATAAATTTATCACTGTTTGCAATGGCAACAGTAACTGATTTAATTTGTAAATAGTTGAAATGCCGCACCGGCATCAGTTGACCAATCATGATTGAGAAGTACAAAAAATCTGATGATATCACTTTCCAAAAGTGCAAAGAGCAATATTCTCACGTGTATTTTGATATAGTCCATCGTATCTTATAGTTCAGTCTTGAACGTAGTGGTAAATTTGAGTACCACAGAGCGCATTGTATGCATGTGTGCTCATAACTACCAACGTAAGTCCTCGAATGTGCTAGAAACGAAAAAGGCAAAGGCGCCTGCTAGCTTCACGGTAAACAACGTGGGGGCGCTGGTGCTTCCCTTCTGGAGCTTTCTCAAACCAGCACCGGTACGACAAAGCATCTGCGAATCATTCTGATTCACCAATCATCGTATGCATCGTATATACGCAAAACGGAGTCTCGCGAGATAACCAGTGATATTTCATTTTGCGAATTAGACTGTTCACATTGCTCGACATTATGGACAAGGTAAGTACAGTATATATTTTTTTTAATTGGAATAATTCTTTAGACATGTTATTGCCGCACCGAATCTAGTCCCTCGTTGTCTGACGAGAAACCAAGGATATATCGAAAGTGTGTACACGCTACATAATTCCTTCTTTGATCATTTACGGTCGTTTTGTAACATTTTTCAAGAATTCTGTTTACCTGCGTCTGCTATTTTTAAACAGCCATTATATTTATTTCGTTTGATGAGCTTTTTGACATAAACGGCTAGTGTGTGGTTTGTTCTAGAAGTCCCATTCTTTCAGCGATTGCTTTAGACACCACGTGTTCAATTCACGATTACCTTTGATAAAGTGTGTGCAGAGGGAAAAATAGATTTTATAATTTTATTTTTGTTTTAGGTGTCAGCATTGAAGGACAAAGGAAATGCTGCATTGCAGGAAGGGAAATTTGAGGATGCTATAAAGTTTTATACAGAAGCTATTGCCTTGGATGGTAATAATCATGTTTTGTACAGCAATAGATCTGCAGCTTATGCTAAAGCTGAAGAGTATAAGCAAGCTTTGGAGGATGCTGAGAAGACTATAGAATTGAAACCTGATTGGGCTAAGGGATATTCACGTAAGGGCAGTGCCTTGGCATATCTTGGAAAGATTGATGAATCTATCAAGGCTTACGAAGCAGGTCTTCGCTTGGATCCGAACAATGCTCAAATCCGAGATAGTTTGGCTGAACTCAGAGCACAAAGAGGAATGCCAAATCCTTTTAACACTGCAGATCTTTTTGTAAAACTCAGAAATGATCCAAGAACCAGAGCATACCTTGATGATCCTGAATACATTAAACTCATTCAAGAATTAAGTACTAATCCCAGAAGTTTAAGTAACAAATTACAAGATACAAGAGTCCTTACCACCCTCAGTGTGTTATTAGGTTTTAATTCAGGAGATATGGATGAGCCGATGGATGTGGATCCTCCCAAAGCACGGGAACCACCAAAGCCTAAGCCAGAACCGAAACCTGAAAAAAACGAGGAAGAGAACCTTCCACCAGAGAAGCGTGAAGCACTGAAAGAGAAGGTATTAGGAAATGAAGCATACAAAAAGAAGAATTTTGAAGTAGCACTTGAACATTACAATAAGGCAGTCGAGTTGGACCCCACGGAAATAACGTTCCTGTTGAATATTGCCGCCGTGTATTTCGAACAAAAAGAATACGAAAAATGTATCGCGCAGTGTGAGAAAGCCATTGAGATTGGTCGGGAAAATCGTGCAGACTTTAAATTGATTGCCAAAGCATTTACAAGAATTGGGCACGCTTACAAAAAGTTGGAGAATTGGAAGCAAGCGAAGGTCTATTACGAGAAATCAATGTCTGAACACAGAACGCCAGAAATCAAAACATTACTATCTGACATAGACAAAATTATTAAGGAAGAAGAAAGAAAAGCATACGTTGATCCTGTAAAGGCTGAAGAGGAAAAGGAATTAGGAAATCAGAAATACAAAGACGGTGACTATGCCGCAGCCGTTAAACATTATTCTGAAGCCATTTTGAGAAATCCAGACGATCCAAAATATTACAGTAACAGAGCAGCATGTTATACAAAGCTTGCAGCATTCGACTTAGGATTAAAGGATTGCGAAAAATGTGTCGAGATTGATCCGAAGTTTATCAAGGGTTGGATAAGGAAGGGTAAGATATTGCAAGGGATGCAGCAGCAGGGAAAGGCCCTTTCTGCATATCAAAAGGCACTTGAATTGGATCCATCTAATGCTGAAGCTCTGGAGGGTTATCGTTCCTGTACCATGGCTGTCAGTTCAAATCCTGAAGAAGTGCGGAAGAGAGCCATGGCAGACCCTGAAGTTCAAAGCATACTGCGAGATCCGGCGATGAGACTGATCTTGGAACAAATGCAAAGCGATCCAAAGGCCTTGCAAGAGTAAGTGAATTAATTTCTTTTCCCTGACATCAGACTAATGATTTCTAAACAACCACATATTTATGAAATGTATTTTTGTTTCGTTACAGCCATCTAAAGAATCCGGATATAGCGGCAAAACTTCAGAAACTCTTGGAATCGGGGCTGATAGCCATTCATTGAGTTGTGGGGTTTATTCTCATTCGACCTTTGTATAGGCTTAGTGTATAACATTCTGTTGCCACTAAGTTCCTTAATATTAAGGACAGCTTTAATTTTAGTTGGTAATACAATAATTTTCAAATATTATTGGCATGCGAAAATATAATTAGAAGAATTGTTTTTACATTTCCTCATGAGTACTTTGTGTTGTTATCGAATACATCAAAGAATTCCAGTCAACGTTTGTCACTCTTTCCAGCATAATCGAGAACTTTCGCGAGCGCCGAGAAAAGTTTGGGTTTCGCCACTGCCGCTTTTATTTCTCGATTCCTTTACGGTTTCACATAATGAGATGTTACAATACTGTACTTTGCAGTTATTGGTTTTATAATGTAAGGATGCCCACTTTGCAATTGTAAAACTTTAATTTACATTAAATTACATACATTGTACACTAAATTTAAGTTTTACATTTTCTGGTTCTTATTATTAATTATTTGATTTCCAATTCTCTCCTTCCCAGAATTGATTGGACCGATGGTACAAACCCTTTCACTTCTTATCCTTATTAGCTAGAAACTGATCGAACTCGAGGTCGTATGCTCCTCGAGAACGAAATTCCGTTTGAGGAGAATTACAATCGATCATAACACCCATAGTTATAAACTGTATACTATTTAAGAGTTTGAAGCTTGTTGATAAAAACTGTGGTTGTCTTCCAGAACTTACATTGTCAGACAGTCTACGAGTACCAAATATTTCAAATTGTTCCGTTACAGTTTTGCAAACTGATTCAATATTTTTTTTGGTATGCCTGAGTTCTTCTGAGTCTGTACTGATTCTTGATTTAATCTTCCTTTCACTTTCCCACGTTTCCAATTGATTTGATTTTGTAGAAGTTTCTGATATATCAGGTAATGTATTCGTATCTTCTGATTCAGTAAAATCAATTACTGGAGAGGCTTCATCAGACTGAGTCGCAGTAGCATTGTGTGTCAAATGCATGCGTCGTGTCAGATTACGTAACTTTGTGATTTCCTGTTCCAATTCTATAGCTGATGCACCGAATCCATCTTTATCTTCGAAAATAATAATTACCTCAATATTCTTTTCTGATTCTTCACAAATTCCCAAACAAAATTCTTCTTCCCTTGATAAATAACGTTCGAGACGGGCAAGGCTTTCTCTTTTCCATCTATGGAAATCACTGCACTGCAAAAAGTTTTTTTTCATAGAAAATTAAATCTTAAAAATCTCCAAAAATCTAAAAGGAGGTATGTATAATATACGTACTAATGGTGCAACATTTCCTGAAAGAAATACTATGCTATCAATCAGAATTACTTCAAAGGTGGATTTCTTTTTTGTAGATGTTGAAAACTCAAATAGTTCATTATTATTGATCACAAATGCAATTGCAAATTTCGATTTATCATTATAAGTAGTAAATCTATGAATTACATCCACTGCTGCGTGTCCGTGCATACACAAGCACATAAAATGAATATCAGTAGGAGCTGTAAGAAAATGTTAATAAATTCAATCGAAACTAAACATTTAATCAGTGGAAATATACTTACCGAAATGTTTTCGAAATTCATTTTTCAACTTTTTAATTTCGTACAATGGATAAATGAACATCAAAAACCAATCTCCAAACTTCCCATTTATCTGTTCGCACCTTACCCAGCCTGCCAGTCTTCCCTGAAATCAAATATTAATTGTAAAAAAATTTAAAAGTAGCGTCACGATGATCAACTCACTACAACAACCACTTCCTCCTCGAGAATCCCTGTGTTAAGTATACATCTATCAAAATGATTGGCATCGGTCTCACAAATAAGTGTCTTGGTGTTTAGCATGACGCTATATGAAAAATCACTGTTGCTAACTGGCTCAAAATTGTACAAAAGATAGAAAATAAAACAAAAAAGGCAGTTGAAAAAGCCTGCATGCAAGGTTTGTCAACCGTCACGTAAAAATCTACAACCAACTTTTCAGATCTTGAAACTTAAATAGTTGTAGATGGAGCTGATCCAAAGCATGGTGTCACCGGTGGCGAAATAGTAAACGTTTCTTCCTTGTTGATATAAGGTCCATTGTGCAGCGTTTTTACGTGTTCCCAAGCACTATATGTGTGTTCGACAATGAGTCGAGAATGCTGAGAGCATGTTGTGTCTCGATCAAATACATGCAATAAATAGAGAGACAACGATGAGCTATGTGCTCTCGGCTCATTTTCAAACACACCTGTAGTGCTTCCTTCCTTTCCTTATGGCTGCCTCCTCCAATGAGGAGTTGTGCCATACATCTGTAGTACTCCGGAGCAAGTAAAAACACTCGCATGAGAGATGGGTAGGAAGATGGCCAATGAGCCAATTTTCATGGTCCAAATTTTATTTTGGCGTCGACGCGCCATATAGGCGGAGTCCATGCTTCTCACGGAGCTCACGAATATCACGCGTAGTATTACTATATATACCTGACCAATCAAAAACGTGAGACTGGTTCGAGGGCCACCTGCTCATGTGGCGCATCGATGCCGAAATAAAACTTGGACCGTGAAAACAGAGATGAGTAGGGAGATGCACAACGCCATAGATGAACAGGGAGATCTATAACACTACGATTTTACCATGTATTCCGATATAAACTTTTAGTACTGTGTAAATGATGTCATTACTGTATACGTGCGATCGTCCCGTTTTTATCAGTAGCACTGTTCAAATTGTGTATAACGGAACATGGAAAGTATATCTGCAGTATTTTAATAACAGTCGCGCTACTCAGTGTTGGAAGCATTAAGCACCTTAGTATGTACAGTAGATATACGGAATTAAAATTTATTATTATGAAATAATGTTATACTTACATTTCTTCGACAAAAATCTGAAACTAATAATTGGTATAACGTAGGCTATCAATGTCATCAATTTCACTTCGAGTAATTTCATTTCGGTTGAAATTTTGTACCCTTACCATTATTTGCGATTTCGATCGACGCGGGAGATATATTTATGATGTATGATACATTTGTCTCTGCATCAATTAACACGATTTCACTATTCTCAGTATCTATTTTAGTGTCGTTGAGAATCCATATTCCTCTGTTCGTTTTCCCATTCTATCCCGCTAATTTCACCGGAAGCGGAGGAAATTACCCATATTACAGTGAGCATCTAACTCTTGTATGGTCTGGAATTACAGAACTTCTAAAAAACTATTGAAAGTCTATTGTTGAAACATTTTAAAGACATTTTAAGAAAGTGCGGTGCCAACTTGATATCCGTGTAGTACCTTCATTTTTGATAAATATTATTGGATCTTGATTTACTTTCAAAATTTACACGAAATATACAATTGATGATAAA